AATGCCAAAACGGTATCTCAGTTTTTAAGAGAACGGAGCGTCCGATTTGAATAATTCAAAAAACATTTTACTTGTATTAACAAGATGAAGAACTGATCAAATTTTCATAAAAGCAGGTCTAGCGGTTTCGGAGATCTAGTAAAATAAGTAAAAAAAAATGCCATTTGGCGGTCAAAAATGATCATTAGACATATGCACATCAAATTATCAGATATTTTATAAAGATTTTAACAATAAGTATGAATTTTGTTTACATTCCTATGGGTTCCGTACCAATTTTTATCCGTTTGACAGCGACGCGGCGCTTACGCGCTTCGACATGCCGTTAAAGCAGTATCGTCTCTATGCAGTTAAAGCAGTACGATCGCTTTGAAAAAAAGTTTAGAATTTCCAAAATAATTCAAAATAAATTTTTCTTCAAAAAGTCTTTTTTTTTCAAAAAAAAGTAAATTTTTGTCAAAAATTTATAGTTTCTCAAAAATCTAATTTTTCAGAGTATTTTTTTTTCAAAAATGTTAATTTAAAAAAAAAAAAATAGTAATTTTTGGGACGGGAGGTTCCAGCAATTTGCCATAAGGCACGATGCCATGCGCCCCACTAGTTTTGTTGTAACATAATTGTTTTGGTTTTCATAAAATAATTGCTCAAAATCAAATTGGACCTTAGGCTCCCGTCATACCCTATACTAAATTCGTATTTTTGACATAGTTTTTAATAAAAATATTTGTAAAATAATAGCATATAATTATTCGCAAATGGATATTTCTTCTATTTGATTTCATGCAGGAATGAGTTTTGAACCGGTTGCAAATGCAGAGTCTTCACTGCTACCCCATTATCATTTGCAAATAATTATGTGCTATTATTTCACTCATAAAACCGATATTCTAATAATAACTTTGTGTTCGTACTATTGTATCATTGAGTAGTGTGAACCTGATAGCTGCTTATTTCAATCGATATATTTTCATGGCCGACTGAAACATTTATTAAAAAGAGATTGCTAAGGGACACGACAACAGCAATAATAACAACTTAATATTTTCCTTTAACCTGATAATAAAATCGTTTAATTAGAGATAATCAGCTCTATTAGTATTTTTATACTGCTGCAGTGTTTTAAAATAAACTGAACACTGGTGGTGCATGGCATCGTGCCGGCAAATAGCTGGAACTTTTAGTACCTTGATTTAATTTTTTTTTAAATTTTAATTTCTTCCGATAACTTTGAAAAATGAGAATTTTGAGATTTTTAAATTTTTTGAAAAGATTGGATTTTTTTTTTAAATTTGATTGTTTTTTTAAATATCAAAGCACATGCGGTCTAACAGTTAAACACTATAAATCTTGGTACAGAACCATAGACGTTACACTACATGGACTGCTGGTCGAGCGCAAAATAAATGTATAAAGATAGAAGAAGCCTGTTACGTCACTTGTTGAACGCTGCCGCTTAATCAATCGGGAGTGTTCCACGATCGTCGGCAACGCTTGTTCACTAAGTGACGTCACAGTCCTCTTATATCTTTATACACTTCATAAAATGGAAAACATGAAGACTAGCAGCTTATGTATGTACAGAACCCATAGAAATATAAACAAAATTTGTACTTATCCTTAAAATCTCTATAAAATATCAAATATCAGATAGTTTGATGCTCAATAATTTTTTTGCACCCCTAAATAGCATTTATGTAAACTTTTTTTGTTAGATCTCTGAAAACGCCTTCCCAAAAATTTAATTAATTTTTGAGTCAATCAAGTGAAATGTTTTTTGAAATATTAAAATTGTATGCTCCGTTCTCATAGAAACTGAATTGGCATTTTTGAAATATTTGCCCAGTATCTTCAAAACGCCTTTACCTGCCTTTGCCAAAAACTTTTCAGCCCGTTTCCTTGTCCAAGGAATTAAATCATTCAAATCGGTTGATCCACACACACAGACACACACACACACACACATTACGCTACCGGAAAGGTAACCTTAAGCATTTTAAAACAACTGACGTTTTACACTTACAATAAAATATGCGTGGAGTCAAAATAATGTTATTTTGTGTTATTTGGAGGTTACTTTTTTTTTTGCACTTACAATAAAATATGCGTGAAGCCAAAATAATGTTATTCTGTGCTATTTGGAGGTTACTTTACAGCCGTATCAAAAACACCATAGGTGTCGCTTTTTTACAGTTTCAAGACTACCTTCACATCGAGAGTCAACATCAAGAAAACATGTCTTAACTTACAATAAAATATGCGTGAAGTCAAAATAATGTAATTTTGTGCTATTTGGAGGTTACTTTTCAGCCGTATCAAAAACACCATAGGTGTCGCTTTTTTACAGCTTCAAGACTACCTTGACATCGAGAGTCAACATCAAGAAAACATGATTCAACTAAATAAAATAGGTGCACTTGTATTTGAAACATGTTACGATGGGAAACCTGTAACATAACATACCTGTGTTATTTCAGAATGGGCCCGTTATTTTTGTATTCAATAACAAAATACAATTAATTCATTTGTATCCGTTCGACCCTGTTCTGTCGCCTAGGGTGGCGCACGTCATCAAGGGACAAAGGGACAGCACCTGCAATAATCGATTGCCTTACCTTGTCCGAACTCGACTAATAACATCTTTGTCATGCTGAAATTAACATTTTTACTCATACAAATCGGGCACGTCAGGACACGTGATAACATCGTAGGATTGATAACATATCATAGAAATGACAGAGTACATTTTGATTGACAAATTAAAATTGAATTTGTCACGTTTGTGTACATGTAAATAAGAAAATTTATGAACGCGGTGGAAACTTTCGCCTTTGTTTGGCCGGTGCTATTAAAATTTGTTTTTGGTTACTTTGGTTTGTAGCAGAAAAATTGTCCTAATTTGATTTTAATAACAGTGCATTGATTTGAGGATTTATAACATATGTATTCTAGGTATATTACCGGACAATGTTCCGGTAATCCATCCGGTACCGGACATTAGCCAGGTATGCGTTGAAATAAATACATTCTACTATCTTACTATTAGTTATTTTACTTTTTTGTAATTCATTTTATGTTTTTCTTCATAATTTCTTTCTGTGATTATTTATTAGAGTTTTGTCAATAACTCTGATTGTTGTACAATATTGAATGAATAAAAAAAACATCTTAGTGGATACAATCCTGTGCAAACAATGCTTATCACAAATTTGGTTGTTATTTTCAAAATTAAAATCTCAACATTGAATATTATCTTGATGAATTTTGAGACGTTTATTGGACATTATTAATTAAACATATTTGATATTATTAGTTTATTTTATTCAATCATTGTTAGATTTTAATGTAATTTTTTTTCAAATTCGTTTACAGTTGAACTATTGTCAACATCACAGTTAGAATAAAATATTTTGTTTTTTAAAATTGAATTTTAAAAAATGTGATTGCAATTATATGGTAAATAGTAGTAATATTTACAAATTATAAATTTAAAGTTTTTTTATACTTTGTTTATAGACAACAATTATGAAAAATGTATTGCAATTGTTTTTCTGCTGCTTATTAAAATTTTTAAAATTATTTATTAAATTTTTTTTTAAATTGTATTACGTATAAAAAAGTTAAATCTGTGTATTAGATTTTTTTCTATTCTAATTGTATTACGGATAAATAAGTAAAATTACTTATGATGTTGAATTTACTTTAAAATTAAATTTGCTTAATATTTTTTTTCCAAATTGCATTACGGATAAATAAGTAAAAATTACTTATGATGTTGAATTTACCTCAAAATTAAATTTGCTTATTATATTTATTTCCAAACTGCATTAGGGATAAATAAGTAAAATTATACATGATGTTGAATTTATCTTAAAATTAAATCTGATTATTAATTTTTTTTTCTAAATTATATTACGGATAAATAAATAAAATTATTTATGATGTAGAATTTACTTTAAAATTAAATCTGCTCATTCGATTTTTTTCGAAATTTTATTACGGATAAATAAGTGAAATTTCTTATGATGTTGAATTTATCTTAAAATTAAATCTGCTTATTAGATTTTTTTCTAAATTGTATATTACGGATAAATAAATAAAGTTATATATGATGTTGAATTTACCTTAAAATTAATTTTGCTTATTAATTTTTTTTACATATTGTATTAGGGATAAATGAGTAAAATTACTTATGATGTAGAATTTACATTAAAATTATATTTGTTTATTAGATTTTTTTTTCTATTCTAATTGTATTACGGATAAATGAGTAAAATTACTTATAATGTTGAACTTGCCTGAAAAATAAATTTTCGTATTAAATGTTTTTCTAAATTATATTATGGATCATCATACTTGATGATGATGTGGAATCTACCTTAAAATTTGATTTAATGTTGAATTTACCTTTATAGGACTTGAACTGAAATCGTTTATTAAAATTAAAATTTCACAGAAGGAAATATTTATAATGAACTTGATAATTATAAAAATTTGATTAAATTAAAAAGCAAACAATATTCCAAAAATCACAGTAAAAACGTTAAACAATGGGCTATATAACAACAAAATTTTAGTTTTAAATATCTAGAATCTAGAGCTTTATCTTGAATATAAAATGAACATAATTTTGATATTTAATCATTTAAAATATTTTTTTTATATTTGGTATACTTTCAATTCATTTTCATTACTTAAATCATAAAATGCACGAAAGTTAATTTACAATTTTAAATTTGCTGATTTAGTCATATTACACAAGTATGGTTTGATATGCAAAAATTATTAATTATATTAAATACTGTTGTATTCAAGTATTTAATCTCATTCACTTATTGATAATTTGCACAATTAATTATTTACTAGAACTAATGCAGGTGATGCAGTTCACATGTAGATTATTAATATTTTCTTGCAGTTATCTAATAGAAAAATGGTGCAGATTTTATAATTTTCAATCAAGTTCAGAAAAAAGATTGTAAGAACTTCATTTGTATTCAAAAATGTCCGTGAAATTATTACAAAGTTTAAAAGGACACAATAGCGATGTGACTTGCTGTGATATTTATGGAAGAAGCACACTCTATACTGGTTCCAGGTCAGATAATAAGATTTTAATAATTATATAAATTTTTATACCAAAATTTAATTAAGATATAATTCAGTACATTAATAAAAGTTGAGACACTGGGTTTTCCTTTTAAAATTTTATGTTATTTGTCAAACTAATTACTATCAATGTATTTCTATTTAGACAGATTGTAATTTATGAGAAAATAAAAAAAAAATTAAAAAAAATTATATAAATTTTCAAACAAAATATAAGCTCAACTTTTCTTGTTAAATCGTTGGTTTTAATTTTATTGATTTAATTTAGCGATAAAACAGTACGTGTTTGGAAATGGCAAATTGGCGAAGGATTTCAGGAAGACGAACATTCGCCTTTTTTAGGACATAAGTATGGCGTTACTTGCGTACGAATATCAAAGAAGGTATCTTGAATATGAATAGATTTATGAATGTAATTTTTTGTTTATCCAATTGGCTGACACACAATTGTATCTACATCATCAATTATCTATATTAGAGTCATTTAGAACTGTTATTCCTGTATCCGTAAATAATATAAATAAATATTGCCCAATATATAATGGACATATGTGTGTGCATTATATTGTGTTGTTTTTGTCTTTAGTATGCACGTAGTATTGATTTTCTTGCTTTGATTCTTTACTATTTTACTATTTGCCACAATTTTCCAGAACAAACACAAAATTTTATAAGTTTATTCCACACAAAACGGAATTGGACATTTTGAATCCTCTTGATGGTTCATGAGGTGAAGAATTGCATGTATTCATAGGTCTACAATATGGACTTTGTTTCTAATCAACATTTTCTAATAAAAAAAATCCTTTCTTTATATCAATTCTTTTGAAGACATAATTTTACCAGTATATTTTTAGTTAATTAATTGTAATAATTTTTACCGTATTTGGTATGATTGTGTATAAGACCAAGGATTACACTGTTATTAAGTTTGATTTTCTAATAAATATGCTCCACTAATTTCGATCTTCATGGACTTAGTTATATTACCTTTAATAATTATATATCAGAATAAAATTTGAAACTTGCTTAATTCTTTATGATTATACCAAGACTGTTATTTAGGGACCGATTCTGCCGCATAACAGACAAATGTTATGGCAAGGCCATGTTACGTTCCAACTTAATACTGACAAAATGTCACGTATTTGCTGTGAATTCAGGCAGATTTACACATAAACTGCAACGTAACTCGTATGTTATGATGCTGCGTCAGAAAGACCCTGTTATCTAAGATCGTTTTTTGATATTTGTGCGGTTTCTAAGATATGTTTTCTTTTATTTTTTAATCTAACAAACTGAGAAAATCACTTGACTGCACAGCTTTTGTCAATTTTTAGAACGAATTAGTATGGAAAGTTCTTCATAACATAGCCTTGCCATAACATTGGACTGTTATGCAGCAGAATCGGTCCCTAAATTGTAAAATTTTAGGAAAATGTTAGTGATATTTTGAATACTCCCCCTACTCCTTTTTCGTCTAACAACACGTAAATTTTTAGTATCTAGAATAAATCGTTAAATTTTAGGAACATTTTTGAAAAATTGTGGAATATTTTATATATTCAGGTTAAAATAAATACACCGTAATATCGTACTAGATTCCACCCCTCCCGCATGTGATAGTTTTGGCAACTCCTACCCTTTTAAGCCTCACGTAATTATGGGACGGCCCAAAGGGGGTATTCAATAATCACGTGAGCAATTTTTAAGGATTTTTGGTCCTTCCCTCCCCCATACAATATTACGTGCATTTTTAACCTATATACAACATTACCTAGAAAAAATCGTTTTTAAAAAATTTTGGATTTTTAGTTAAATTAAGGTAAAAAATTAATACACGTGATAGATCCTTCCGCCACGTAATATTTCGTGATTATTTTTGTCAAATCCCTCCTCACCCTTCAAAGCTCACGTGATTAATGGACGCCCCAAAAGTAGTTTGAAAGAAACAACTGTCGCCATCTCAACGATTGATGGTTTTGATATTAACTATATCAAGTGTTTTCGCAGCACCAATTCGAAGTCTTTTATTTATTTCACATATTTTTCATGCTAAAATTTCGGTTTTTGGTCAATTTAATTAGATGGCGGACAGCATTATTGGATTATTGTATTGCTTTTAGTAAATGAAGTAGTTAGATAAAATGTATCAAAAAAATATGAAAACTGTTTTCATAATCTCTCATACCAAGCACCCCTGAGATATGAGAATAGTATATCAATAAAAAAAAGACTAATTTCTCAAACTACAGTAAGATTACTACCTGATTGTTTATTACCTTATAAACCTGATTAAAGGGTTATTATTATATAAGCTAAAAAAAATTCTTTACATTAACCAATGCATATTTATCACTACAGATGAATGTTCACTGCACAATTCTGTTCCTTTGCAAAAGTTTCTCCTATATTTACCAAATCATTTATAATCATGCAGCTCATAGAATGTAATTACTGTTCTGATTGCTGTATAATAATAAATGAATGAGAAGAAAAAAAAATATTATTATGTTCAGGGAGATCTGCTGGCCAGTAGTTCAGTCGATGGTACCACTATCCTATGGTGTACGCGATCTGGTTCCAGGCGCCAAATGCTGGTGCAGGATACTGGAGAGCCGGTGCGATCTTGCGCCTTCTCCCCGGACGGCGCAGTGTTAGTAACAGGCGCTGACAGCGGTGCCGCTTGCGTTTGGGATAACAATAATTATCAACTTATTCGGTATATCACTTGTGCCTGCGCTAATTACTTAAATTAAGGGTAATCTAACCTGACTTATTAATGAAATATTTATAGAATTGAGATAATCAAAAAGTAAATTCGTAAAGCCCGTGTTATGGTATTCGGTGATTTTCATAAATCAATGTCATTACCAGCTTCCACTGGGCTTTGAAGTGATGATGGATTTTCCATATCAAAATTTATGGTGCCAACTTATGTAAACTAGTTGTTGCACTGGCGTATTGCTACACTTTTTTTCCGCATACGTCGATTAATAAACTTCCAGTAGCAAAAAATTGATGTTTATCTTTAAGTTTTAAGACCCGTTGATAATTTTGACATACCAGGAATATATAAAATTTTGCTCGTGTATTATATTTCTGCTTCGTTTTTTAAAAGGACAAATCAACAAATTTGATATTCAGAAATGTTGGACAAAAAGTTTTTTTTTGGAAAATCAGCTTCAGTTGCTTTGGAGATACGAACAAGATAGAGCATACTGAAATTATTATTATTTTAAAAAATCTAATCGGTTCTACATAATTAGGGGGAAGTCTCCAAGTGGCGGACACTTAAATTATTTATAAATAAATCAAAAAATATTTTACGAAATGTTTATTAAATTATGATTTATGTTAGATAACAAAGTTAGAAATCAAACTAAATTAACAAAACCGCAATCTTTGCTAAAAATAATTACTACTATCAATCAAACTTTGCTATCAAAAAATATTATTTTAAACAGTGGCACCTAGTACCGGACATTTCAAAATAACCTGCATTGATCACATATGTAGCCATATGTAGCGATCTCTACGCTCTGGAATGTCTGCACATGTGTCTTTGATAAATATTCTTAGATATTGCAAAAAAAGTCACTATTCATTCACCCTTTTGGCTGGGCCACACCGATGCTCTCAGCTGGTGCATTCATAAGCTTTTCATTCTTTGACTAGGAAATACGAAAAATGTGAGTATGTAGTGACCGTTAGCACTCATACAGAATAAAATTAAATAATTGGAATAAATTACGTAAATTCTTACAAGAAATATCAATATGTTTACTGTCCGGTGCTAAGGGACAGATATTTTCGTTCATTTGGTGGCACCTACTAAAATTGGTTAAAATATCTAATGATATTCTACCATTTTACGGATAACAATCAAGTACAACTATTATCTTTGCATACCACACAAATGTAAATGCATAATTATGCTAGAATTACTTCCATTGATATTAGGTTGTCAAATATCTCCTTTCCGCTTTTTTGCTCTTGGTTTATAATACAAAAAGGCGGAAAGGAGATATTTGACAACCTAATATTTAGGTGACGCCTGAAAAATCAAAAATTTTAAAATTTCTAGTAACTAAAAATGCACGTGGTGCTTGGCGGGAGATAGAGGGGACCCAAAAATCTCTAAAATATCGATCACGTGATTAATGAACGTTCAATTAATTCTATGAATTAAATGTCAGTTAAGTATTTATAAAATGAGATGATAGTTATATTAAGAACGACGCAGTAGTGCTTTTCTTATAAAACGGAGGGGGGGTGATTGCAAAGCATTACGAAAAGGTTGGAAACCACTGTGTTTATCAATTATAAATACAAGTAGAAAAAGTTATGTTTATGTGATAAAATCGTTGATTAATGGTAACCAATTAAAAATTATTGCAATGTTTATACTAGTTAACCGAGCTGTGAATTTATTATTTGATGATACTGTTTTACCTACAGAGTTTTGCACTATCACTCGGATGCTGTGCATAGTATCTGCTTTTCACCTGACTCGCAATTGCTTCTATCTGGATGCACCATGGGCAACATTAGAATTATGCTGAATTTCTGGCCAGATACATCAGGTTATTGATGATATTTGGAGCGAAACAAACTTTTTATATCATTGCACATTTTTATATTACTCTGAGCACATATGTTTTACGTTTCGAATACGTAACTTTTATTGGTTAATTTTTAAAAAAGGTTAACAATGTCAGGCATTTATGCTCATCGAACTTAGAATATCCTTTCCTCTAGTTGCGGATGCTGGTGAATCATCCTGCGAAGACGAAGCCCTCGTCAATTTAGATGCTGCTCATGATTTGGGCGTTTTTGGGACTGATTTTTCCTCTAGAATTATAACATGTAATAATAACAAAAATACTATTTACACACTTGCGACATGTGGAACTGATCATCTAATCAAACTGTGGAAAATAATTTCTACGCAACCGGAAAAGGGCAATCCGCGAGGTTTTCAACCGATTATAATTGTTGAAAAAATTAGCACAGTACTGGCACATGGTAGCACTGTCACAAACGTTAGGTAATAAAATAAAATTAATTGAATAATAATAGTGAATTTATGTGTTCCCATTAAGTAACACCATTGCTTCATTAATACTGTTGCTATATTATATTTAATTATGGTACATCAAGAATAATTAAAATATCTGGAATGCATTGCGTTGCATTTGTTGCACAAAAAGATTTTAATTTAATAATCGACATTCCTCAGTATATTGTCATTGTACAAAATTCATTAAGTGGCGCAAGATATAAGATCAAATACAGATTATTTTTATTCTCCAGCTATTGTTGTCAAATGTTCTCGAAAAATACCTATAAATTTCTGAAATTTTTGAAATTTTCTAAAAATATTTGGTTGTTTTATATGAAAAAATTTTTATCAAATCTTTTATCATATTATTTATCAAGGTTTAGTATGGGTGGCATGATGTTAGCAAGTGCAAGTTTAGATAAAAGTGTTAAATTATGGACGAGCCAAATGAATTGTAAAGCTACCCTCACAGAACATACAAGATATGTAAATTGTATTTGTTTTAATTCGGATGGAATGATAATGTGTTCAGGTGAATAGAAAAATAGTATATAATATTTTGTAGTATATGATCATACATCTGGATTTATTAGTGCTCTTTTTAAGATATTTTTTAGTTTTTATGCAAAAATGATTTATGGACCAATTCTGCCGCAAAACAGACCAGTATTATGGCAAGGCTATGTTATGAAGAACTTTCCATACAAAATCGATCTAAATATTGACAAAAGCCATGTGGTTGCTGTGCTGTCAGGCTTTTTTCTCGGGTTGCCAGATAGAAAATTTAACTTAGAAACTGCACAAATGTCAAAAAAAACTGTGTTAGATAACAGGGTCTTTCTGACTCGGGTTTTCATAACATAGAAGTGACGCTGCCGTTTATGTGTAAAGCGCCTGAATGCACAGCAAATACATGACATTTTTTAGTATTCAGTATGATTCAGAAGCGTAAATGCAAGTTGGAGCGTAATGTGGCCTTGCCATAACATTTTTCTGTTCAATCGTTAAAATGATTATTCTATATCTGCATCATAAAAATTTTACTTTCTTTTTCAAACTGTATCTTCCAACAAAACAGGTTCAAACGATAGATTAATTATGATTTGGGATGTTCTGGGAACTTTAACTTTAGATTCTGATATTACAAAACCTCATACTGTTCTAACTAATTTAACATTAAATATGCATTTGCCTGATAAATATCTATGCCCGATTACTCATGAGCTGATGGCGGATCCTGTGATATGCGAAGGTAAAAAAATCGTAGAAAAATTAAATAATTATTCTAGTATATTTAAACATCATTTTTTTTCGGGTATATTTTAGATGGTTTTGTATATGAACGAAATGCTATAGAATCTTGGTTCAATTCTGGGAACGTACGTAGTCCTATGACCAATGCTGATATAGAATCGACTGAACTTCAGCCAAATGAAGAACTGAAGCTAGAAATTCAACAATTTGCTGAAATGAATGACTGCAAAATATAGAAAGTGATATTTTTGTGAAATTATAGCCAAATTAATGGATGAACTTTAAGTTATGTCAATATCTTAGGTATCAACAAGAAATATTTTCATATTGCACGTTTCAATAGTTGTGAAATACATTATATTTGTGTTATAAATACAATTATATTTGTGCTTAATTATTAGGTACAATTATTTCTAAAACTACAACTTTATCAAATATATTAATTTTTGTTATAAAATGTCTTTCTATACTTATCGCACAAACTTATACATAAGGCAGCAATCAAAATTTCAAATTATAAGGTTGTCAAATATCTCCCTTCCGCCTTTTTGTATTATAAACCAAGAGCAAAAAAGCGGAAGGGAGATATTTGACAAGCTAATATTCTTTCCATAAATCAATAAAAGTCGATCGTTTAAGGAAAAAGTAATATTGTACTATCTTATTAATATATTGCATTTTTTGCAGTGATTTTAACAGTTTAATTTTGATATTAAACAAAATTTAATAAATCAGGAGTTCACAGGTGCAGCAAAATTCATTAATAAATAGATAATTTATTATTTTCTACTTTGAAGTAGAAAGAGACTTATTTAGACTGATTTGGTTCTTTGGTTAGTTTCAATTGGTTCTTTAGTGATTGCACTTTTGTTCGTAAAGTTTAGTAGTGAATCCGCACAAATGTTAAAAAAAAAGATCTTATATAACACGGTCTTTCTGACCCAGCTTCATAACATACATGTGACGTTGCAGTTTATGTGTAAAACGTCTGAATGCACAGCAAATAAGGTCTGTTCAAAAAGTACCCGGAATTTTCGTTTTTTCAAAAAATTTATTTATTCGTCTACATTAATGTGGTCCCCTTCAAAGTAGTCCCCCCCAGATATAATACACTTATGCCAGCGTTTTTTCCAATTTTCGAAGCACCCTTGATATTCACTTTTTGATATGTCCTTGAGCACTCTCAGCGATTTTCTTCAATCGAGGAAAACCGCCGTCCTTTCATGGGTCTCTTCAACTTTGGGAATAGGAAAAAGTCACACGAAGCCATATCTGGTGAATTTTTGCACTTTGCAACACTTTATTTCATTTTTTACGCAAAATTTAATACAAATTCTTTGACTTTTCAATTCTTCCATTGTAAAAATCGCCGAGCTCAGAAAAACACGTCGAACCTTAGCGACTACCACAGACAAAGTAAACAGTGAATATAGCTGAAAATTTCATCATACTTTAGGGGCATGTATACCAACACAATAAAAAAAAAATTTGCCAATCAGACACTCCAGACCCGCGAAATTTAATTATTAGTAATTCCGGGTACTTTTTGAACACACCACGTACATGACATGTTGACAGTATTCAGTATCATCTTAGTTATATGAAGATATCGGTCGAGCTTTGTTAGTGGTGCAGAACACTTGTTACACTGGTATATTTTTTTATATGTGAATTAAATATTTTTTACTTGTCAAATTGTTGTGATCTTTACTAGAGTCGATAGGTTTAGCACTTACAAGGAGAACCTCAGATTAAATTTTCTGGGATTTTGATAAAACTTTGCAAGGTGATAGAGTTGATTGTTAAACAGAACCCTTTAAAATATCATAGGCTTATAATATTTTAAGGTGTTTGGTTTGATTATCAACTCTATCATTTTCCAAAGTTTCATCAAAATCCCAGAAAAGTAAACCCGAGGTTCTTCTTGTTAGTACAATAAAAAATATGAAACCCGGTACTTTAATTTAATTCAAAATTAATTCATCTCAAATGCTGCATAATGTCAGAACTCATCATGCAGTTTACGAACATGTTTTTTCAAATCAAAATTTCTGCAAAATCCTTTTGCGCAATATTGGCATGCAAAAGGTTTTTTCTCTTGATGTGTGTGCATGTGAAATGTTAAATTATAAAGTTGATGAAAGGCCTTATCACAAACACTACATTTATAAGCCTTTTCTCCTCCGTGGGTAAGGCGATGATTTTTATAATTTCCTTTCTGGTGGAAATCTTTTCCACAATATTCACAGACAAATGGTTTAAATCCGATGTGGATTCGCATGTGGGTATTGAGAGTAGAGGAACGATTGAAGGCCTTGCCGCAGGTCGAACATTTATGGGGCTTCTCGGAGGTGTGAATGATTTTGTGTCGGCATAAGGTAGATGCTTGGCGGAAACCTTTTCCACAAACCTAAAATGAACGAACTTTTTATCATTGTTATAATTTTATTAATAAAAATAAGCGACAATTTTACGGTATAAAGACATTATTTAACCACTTAATCCTTACGAGCTCAGTTCGTTCGCGCAAAACTGGCAAATATGCACACGAACGAATTGAATCAGTTTGTTCATAGGAATTTTGAAACTTATCGCAACTTGTTGGACGTTTGTTTTACTAACAAAGATTTATAAAATTTAATATTTCAAATTTATTTATTAATTTACAATATTTCAAATATAATTATACATCAATGCGTGTTTGGGTCTGTGACTTAATTTCTTCATTGTTAAACTAATCTGAACAAAAAAATCAAATTTTTGATGTCATAGTAAAAACATTCTTAATATATTGAGATAATAAAAAATATGATAAATTTTTGTCAGCAAATTTTTATAAAATGTGTGCATTAAGTAGTAAAATTACAAGCTATCATTTTTTTGCTCATAACTTCTACTGTTTTTTTTTAATTTTGTTTTTTTTCTGGTGAGACTTGCATTTATTGCAAACATTTCAGCTCAGTGAAGGTTGTTTACGATAGATGTCCCAAATTGGACCAAACGATTGATTTGTGAACTATCTTTTTAAAAATTAGTATTTTAGTATATTGTTGCTTCATACCATATTGTTCGTACTACGAATATGTGCACAAAATAGTTTATGTAATTAGTTGCATTTTTTCTACTCCTACTTAATTAAAAGGCAGTGATGACTATAAAGACTATGATGACCTACTGGTAGTCAATAAATCTAATATTGGTACAACCAATTGAGAATGATTAAAAATTACTAAATAAATAAATATCAAAACACCATGTCATTTTATTCGTTTTTCTAAGGTGACCATACGTCCCGGTTTGGCCGGGATAGCCCCGGATTTCTAGCTTGTGTCTCCGGTTTTTCTAAAAGCAATATTTGTACCGTATTAAGATCATTTGTCTCGGATTGTCTCAAGCTTTTAATAAGATAGGTTTTAAAATAATCGTAATTACTTGATAATAAAATTACTATCACTCAAATGTTTGAAAATTATATATACAACGTATATACGTATAGCAATTCGTAAAGAAAAATGTTCACGGGTTTCCAATCGCCATGCTTTTACTTAAAAATTTTACTCAGGTATCATAAACTAAATACAAGAGCTCAAAACCATAAAAACTACCAAGGAAAAAAAATCGGTATGAAATGATACATTTATGTTTATCTTCGGATAGCGACATTGTACGAATTAAGGTGATGGCTATAAAATTATATATTGTGCTTGTTTTAGAGATAATGATGATGGACCTTTTTACCCGCGAACCTTTAAACACCGTTTTACCCTATAGTATATTATTATAAACTGTCATAGTTGCAACGTCGCCACTCAAAAAAATACTTTTTTTAATGTTTTTTATTTTGGTCAATTTTAAATTCCTGTTTATCAATTTTTTTCCCGCTCATATTAAATTATTCAACAGCTTGTGATACAAAAACAAATATTATCAAACACGACAGACACATATAAAAAACTAAAAAAAGAGTGCGCGTAAGGATCACACGCGATTGAAGTAAAACTTTTAATATTGTATGAGTAGGCAATTAAGATAAAAATAAAAAAAACATATTTGAATTTTAAAAATCATTTATTAATAATCACATAACATCAATAACACAGTTTAAAACAACAGCGATAGATTAATTGCTATCATATTTCATATATGATATAATAGGTTTGTGATAACTGAAATGAGAGACATAAATTTTGCTTTGTAAACTATGTACATTTCTGGAGAAAACTGTATCAATAGTCGTGCCATATCTTGTGGTTGATTCAAATGGAGAATTATTCATTGTTATATTAAATTTATTATTTAAAAAATCAATTAATGGTTGAGATTCTTCTGAACGAAAATTGACATTGAAATCTCCAGGAATAATTAATGGTATCTCGTTGTGATTAGTATTTAAAAGTTTTGCACCCTCATTAGAAAAATGAAGTAACTGCTGATGAAGAAGAAATTTAATAATATTTGATACGTTTTTATTGGGAGAAATTTAAAGGACGACTATAATTAATGTTTGATTCTGAGTGTTCACACAGCGGACAACTGCAATATCACCTACTTGTGTAATTTCATTAGGAATATCCAGTAATATTGTTGGCGCAAGAAACTGCATAGGAGTCGCACTATGAAGAGTATCTGAACATGAATGATAGACATTAGGCAGCTACACCACCTGCTCTTGAGTTTGATCGTTTGTATTGAGTAACGCAGTAATAGTTCTGAATATCAATTCGTTCTTCATTATTAATCCAAGATTCCGAAAATAACAAAAACGTACAACGTTGTAGCACTTTATCTTGCAGATCAGGCAAATGAGCTCGTAAACTTTGGCAGTTAAAGGAAAACAATGAAAGTCGTTCAAACTTATTATCTCACTCAATTTTTCTTCTTGTGTTATTAATCTACAAGTTGAAAGTCTTTGGAATTCAGTTTTTAAGTCCATTAATCCTGCTGGCCGTTTTCTTCTATGATACAATTTTTTGTCGTTGTTTTAGAAATGATGAACAATCCATTAATGTTGGTAACTCGTGATAATGCAACATATAGAAGCTGCTGATTATGTGTTTTATTGTATTCATATACAATTTTATCAAAAGTACCTCCTTGTGATTTGTGTATTGTGAGTGCACAAGCAGACACTAAAGGAAAATGATTTCTTTTGACAAATATGATTTTATTTCTATTCATTGGAATAGATGAAGATCTCCTGAGAATCGGCACAGCTGTCCTACTGATATTAAGAGTTTGAATATGATGTGAAGCTTTCTTCCTAATTTTGTTACCTATCTTACCGGGAAATTCAAACCATAAACGTAGAAGTTCATCATTATCGCCACGTTCTATGTACACTAATTTTCCTACACAACCATTAGCTAAGCCACCACTCACATCAATATTAGTTGTTATTATGTAAAATTTATTCAGAACTAAAATTATTTCATACGGCAAAGCCCCGGTATCAATAACCGATTTTTTTGAAACTGCTGACGAATGTATGATTGTTGATCTGTCGCATGGCAACCTACATAAATATCCGTGGCAGTAGATATTATTTTGTCTTCAACGAGATTCAATATAAATTTATTATATTCCATGGCACATTTATTCTCTAAGAAAAGTCTTATTCCATGAGGACATAATACAGCAACCTCTTCTTTTGTAAAAAAACGTGATTCAATTAATGCAAGTTCATATAGGGTTTAGCGGGTTTAGCGCTCGACTTACGCATGACATGACGGGAGTGGATACTCGCGACATCAGCGCTTACGGCGTCGTAGTGTTCAACTTCACGTTGGCGTTTTCGTTGCATTTGTACGGATTTACACCCGTGTAGCCTAAAGAAATTTTTACACCCATATCGCGCCTAAAGAAGTTTTACTTCAAAAATATATTACACTTTTCTATGGAATGATAAAAAACTGTCACGACACTAATTAGTTATAACGACACGGGAATCAAATCGCTATGCTCTTTGGAAATTGCTTTAAATTATAACACACTGCAGAAATTAAAATTAGATATTATTGCAAATGTACTTTCTTCAATTTGACAAATTCATGTCAAATAAATTGCTTAACATGCAATATCAAGTTTACAGCAGGTTCGTTTTCGTCAGAATGCGGCACCAAGTTGCTAGTACATTATTTTTAAATCAGTGCCGGGTCGATGTAACAGAAACTTATATATATATATATATATATATATAAAAAAAGTCTTACCTTACACAAGAAAGGCCTGGCTCCCGTATGCACCGGCATATGACGAGTTAGGTTATAATGGGCATTAAATGTTTTCCCACACGCAGGACATGTGAATATTTTTCCTCTATTAATATTTTCGTTTCTTTGTTGAGTTGCTGGTGCATCATTTCTGAACATTTTTTCTGAAACTGCTTGACACAGCATTAAACGATTGCTGCCATCGGACACGATATCAGGTATTATCCTGTAATGTTAGAAATTCAAAAAAAAATTGAGTATTATCGATAACAATTTAATATGTTAATGTAAAAAAAAAATTTTAACCAGTTAACTGTTGAACAAATTATGAATATATTGTGGGAGTTTGCAAGGTGGTGGCAGGAATATAATAATGGCAAGTAAGCCGTAAAAATAATAAAATGAACAATGTGGTTTTATGTATAAAAAGTAATGGGGATGTAAAACGATCAGTCAAAAATATATTAAATAAATTAGTAATTTATATTGAACTAAAATATTATGAAAGTGTCTAGTAAGACATTTGAACCAATTCTCGGATAAAAGAGAAATTTTATAGTAGAGCTATTTTACGGGTCTATCTTCGTATGAATTGGGAGTAACAAACTGACAAAAAGCAATGTATTTGCTAAGCGATCAGGTGTTTTAAACAAAAAACTCATGATGAAATGTTTTCCACTTATGATAAAATGTTATTTGATTTTTGTGCGTTTTGATGTTTAGGTTTTATGTGTAAAACGCCAGATCACACAGCAAATATATAGCTTTCTGACAGTTCGTTACTACCTATTTATACGAAGATAGACCCGTAACATAGTTACCATAACATTTTTAATTTATCCGAGGATTTGCCCCATAATATAGGTAATTGCCATTAAATATGACAAAATACTTTAGTATAATATTACCAAGTACCTTTCTATCATATGTCCTTTTGTTTTTATTAAACTTTGTGCTGCTATCATTGGATATTGTGAAATTTCATTATTCTTAAGTGTAGTATTCTGCTTATTAGTTTGAGGTATATATCGTGTGAAAGCTGAATCTCTGGTTCGTCGAGGTATTTCTGATGACATAATTTTTGCTATGGAGAACTTGATTAAATGTTGGCGTTTTTGGTGCTCATCTTCTATACTTTTGCTTGATATATTCATCTGAAAAAGAAATTTAGCATTTCATAAAGATATAATTTAACCAAGTGTAAGTGGCATTTTGCATTAAGGCGAGTTGTATGATCTTCTCGTTACGTGCAATAAATCGACGGTTTCCAAGTGATATTTTTTAATCAGACTTATATGTAATTATATTAATTATAGTATATAATATTTTAAATATTAATGAAGTTTCATAATTCAACAACTTTTTGTAGATCATAATATTTTAGGGCGTTTTTGTAGAGATTATGAACTTTATCACTATACTAAGTTTCATTAACATATCATGTATCACACAAACAACTATCGAACCAAGTTCAGTGAATTTTCCAATTAACTCCTAATTTTAGAAATATGTTTTTCAACTATTTTTCTAAAATTTGTCACCTGTGCTTTTTTGCCTCATGGGCGAGGTAAGAAGAAACAGCCAGAGTACAAACAGGTCAAACTTTTTTTTGAATTTCGAAGCGATTTTATGAAATAATAGCTACATTATTCAACCATTGTAAAATACAAATTTTGTAAAAACATTTTTTACAAAGATTTCATTGTATATAACCTTGATCGGGTATTATGAAAGAAATATTTATCAGCAAATTACTAAACATAAAATTATTTAAAACAAATTACTTTTTTAATTGTTTTGACTTGGTGCCTACAGCTTCCTCAACGTATAAGTTTAGTTGTTTTTTTTTACCCACCCTCATGTAAGCTTTTATAGAGGTTATATGAAAAACTGTTGAATCTAACTTATAAGTAACAATACATCTTAGGAAACAATTAAATTATTTATACCTAAAAATTTCATTCAAATATTATAAACTAAATACAAGAGCTCAAAACCAAAAAACTACCTAGGAAGGAAAAATACTATTGGTATGAATATTAATACATTTACGTTTATCTTCTGATAGCAACATCGTACGAATCAAGATGATGGCTGGTTACACGTCTTTTGCCTTCTACTTAAAAACAGTATTATTAAAATAACTATACTTTGCTTGTTTTAGAGATAATGATGGAGCACCTTTAAGCACTGCTCTATCCCACAGTCACTCGAAAAAACACTTTTTTCAATATTATTTTTATATTGGTCAATATATAAATATCTATTTATCAGTTCCCTGTCTCGCTCATTTTAAATTATCCTGCACTTTGTGATACAAAAGCAAATATCGCCGCGTGCAAATGCAATAAATTGTTTTCGAATGGTTTTCTTGTTCACCGTGTAATGATGTTCCGTAACAGGGCTTTTAACTAAGGGTTATTATTGAAGGGCGTTTCAACCAGGATAAGAGGGACCGTATAAGTTTAATAAAGTCATAATACACGTTTTCTGATTCACTGGTTTATGCAATATATTTTTTGAAATATGTCGAACTTGTATTGAGTTTAGATGAATCAATAATTTAGATTTCTGCAATTCTGAGCCAAATTGACATAAGAATGGATTTGACATTGCATAAGAAGGAAATTGCATTTTTGACAGTATCTGGTGAATAATTTTTTAGCACGAATAATTATATAATTTATATGGTCTTGAGTAAAATGGCCCTTAAATCAATTTGACATTGCATCAGATAGAATAGCACTTTTGTCTATGTCCATTTGTTAATAAGCATAATTAATACGCTTAATTAATAAAGCTTAATACATATTTCTTTTAAAACATTTTTTATATGAATGTCATTTCAATACGTACCAAACGATTTTGACTATTTTTATACTTAATTATTTTTCTAAATGTCACATATGTGGAATCAATAGTTTCAGAATAATTTCTTTGTATGATGGTTCTGTTCTGCTGATAAAATTGAAGTATTATACAATATTATAATTAATAGAGAGGAAAAATCTAAGAAGTTCATCACAAAGTCTATAATATTTTTAAGCTGCAACTGTAAATTTTCTGTTGATTGTGTACATAATTTAAGGCAGGTATATCATTAATCAGTATTTTGGAAAATAATTTTATTAACACAGGTATAGACATAAAGTCGACAGGTATAGACAAAGTGAGCTCTAGTTATGATTCTATTGTTTATTTGCCTCGCTTAGTTAGAGCATTTAGCCACATCTAAAACTTTCTTTATACATTTTTACACTCTTTATTATATCATAATAATACTAAAGAGCATCCTGCCCGGAGGCAGGTTCATGGTATGAGAGCACCACAATTCAATAATTTCCTTTTCCTTCCCAACTTATGATTTCCATTATCATTTTATTACCTTTAATCACTTTTTATTCACTTTTATAAATTTTCTTTTCTATGCTACCTGAAATTCTGCTTTGGCTTTCAGTTCCCTTCTTGTGTAAGTCATCTATCATCTGCATTTTTTTTTCTTCCCAGTCTTTCAAATCCTTCCTTCTATTTCACTTTCGACGATAGCGTCTAGAAGGCTTTTTTATGGGTCCGATACAGTTTCCTCTTCTTTTCAGGATCATGCAGGTAGACTCTTTACTTCGTCCACTCTTGTCTATCTACTTTATTTTCTCCTTTCGTCTCTTGCATGATCCTTCCTTAAAGTCCATGTCTCTGATTCGTACAGAGCTATGCTTCTGGCATAGCCTAACAGTATTCAGTACCATTTTGTATGAGAAGCGCTGTGTAACATAGCCCTTACGTAACATTAGTCTATTTTACGGCCCCGTGGTCTCAAAATATTTCAAACTCCGTAACATTAGAGGATCAATTTAGCTTTTCTCAAAAACCGTAATTGAAATAGACAATGATCATTAATTCATACGCATGACTAATATTTATCCATCAATATACAAAATTCTGCCACTTTTCCATGACGAGTATACACGTCAATCACATTAGTTAACAAAAGCAGGAATGGATGTAAATTTTTCAATTCGTGAGGTTTGAATAAATAATTAACATCCCGTAGGGTAAGTTATTGTAATCGTCTGAAAATCGAAATTGAAAATTTTTCATATCTTCACGTTTTGAAGGTTTCTGAACATTTTGGCATACCTTAGAAAAAAATGGATGTGTGTATATGCATGTTTGAATACAATATTTTGTCGACATTTCTGGGCGCATGGATCAACCGATTTTTATGGTTCAAAACACCATCAATTTATATTGACAGAGAGATGTGCGGGTTAGTTTTTGGCAAAGGCACGTTCAGCAGTTTTGGAGATGCGGAGCAAAGAAAGCAAAAAATAGAAATCAAATTTTTGAGAGAACGGAGCATCTGATTTAAATGATCCAAAAGACATTCCAATTGTAATAGTTGAGAGAAATGGTGATTAGTTTTTGGCAAAGGCAGGTGCAGCCGTTTCGGAGATGAAGAGCTACAATAAAATGAAAGTTTTTGAGAGATTTAAGCATCTGATTTGAATGATTCAAAGAACTTTCTGCTTGTGTTGACAGAACGATTGCTTTTGGTGAAAGAATTAAAAAAAAAAAAAATTATTTACAAAAAATATTTTTTTTCAAGACAAAAAGCTCTTATATTTTGCCTATGAAATAAGAATAATGAAAGTTACAGTATTTATAATAATCTTTTGAAAATATTTAAGACTCCTCGAATATTTTATTACTTTATGGAAAGTTCCAGCAATTTGCCTTATTCAAAAAACTTTTGGGTTGTGTTAAAAGAGCGATTGGTTTTGGTGAAACAAAAATTTTTTATTTTTTTTTAATTTACAAAAAATATTTTTTTCAATACATAAGCCTTTATATTTTGTTCTAACAAGAATAATGAAGATTACAGTATTTATAATAATATTTTGAAAACACTTAAGCTTCCTCGAATATTTCATTGCGGTACGGGAAGTTCAAGCAATTTGTCTTGAGGCACGATGCCATACACCACTAGTTTCTTTCTGCCTTTCCCACTGAATCTATATCTTTAGCATAATAATTTGTAATAGAAATTAGATATTTTCCTGAATTGCCTCTCCTCGAAGGTATTATGCAAACAGGACGTCGTTATTGCCCTCGCGCCACGCGTCGCTAATACGAAACACTAATTTATTGCTAAACATTACATGCTCTGGATTGCTTTCTACCTGACTAACCGATGGGAAAATTACTCAGGAATTTTACCAGAGGTCTAATAATGCTATTCCAATGATTATGATGAACTTGTAAATAACACATTAACGGTAAATTAGATATTTCATGACTTGTTCGAGGTTTGACTTGGATAATACTCTTTGTAATGAGTAATATTATTTAATATAGACAATATTTATCGAATAAATATGTAACTCTTTTGATCAGTGATCATTTTTGAAGTATAGTATCACACATGAAATCTACACAAAAAATGTATTTGAAAAAATATGTATTAAAACATTTTTATTTAAACATGATACATTTTGGTCAGTATCATCTTCTCCAGGTACGGGGATGTGAGCCGTTATATAAAAAAAATACTTTACGTTATAAACTTTTTGAGTTTTCAAGTCAAATAGCCCTTTTCGGCATTGCTGAATCTAGTAAAAATTTTAGGTATAAGTGGCATTTTGCTTTGAGTCAAGCTGCAGAAACTTTTAGATATGTGTAAATGGTGCATGGCATTGTGCCTCAAGCCAAACGTTCAAAGACTAAAAATCATCTATAGTAAACAAAAATTGACCAATGATTAATAGCAATTGTTTTGAAATAAATGCATCATTCATTATTTGTATTTCATAGTTTTTGTTAAATTTAAAATATAACTAGTGGGGTGTATGGCATCGTGTCTTAAGGCAAATTGCTGGAACTTCCCGTACTGTAACAAAATGTTGGAAGAATACTGAATGTTTTCAAATAGATTATTATTAAGATTGTAACATTGTCTAATATTTATAAGAATTATATAAACTGAATTGCACAGTTGAAATTATTTGTTTAAAGTATATTAGAACTATAGTCAGAATAAAAAATAAAATCTGAATTATTTTCGATATACTAAAAAATTTTTTTTGAAAAAAAAATGAAAAAAAATAGTTGAAACAAAAACTTTTTTTTCCAAGATCAATTATTTTGTTAAGACAAGCAGAAAGTTTTTTGAGTCATTTAAATCGGACGCTTAGTTCTCTCAAAAACTGCCACTTTTTGTACATTTAGCTCTGTATCTTCGAAATGGCTGGGCCTGTCTTTGCCGAAAACTAATAACCACTTCTCCCAATTATTACTAATTGAATGTTTTTGTAGATCATTGAAATCGGATGCTCCGTTCTCCCAAAAACTCAATTTCTATTTTCTGCACTCTTTGCTCCGTATCTCCGTAACTGCTGGACATGCCTTTGCCAAAAACTAATCACCATATCTCCCTATCAATAAGAATTTTGAACCATTCAAATCGGTTGATCCGTGCGCCCGAAAACGTGGACGAAAAATTGTATCCATACATACACACACACATCCATTTTTTCTGAAGTATGCCAAAATGTTCGGAAACCTTCAAAACGTCGAGAAATGCAAAAATTATCAATTTCGATTTTTGGACGATTACAATAACTTACCCTACAGGAAGTTAATAAATTAGATGATGACACTTACATATGTTTACAAGAGAAGTATATAAACAAAATCTAATTAAGCCGAGTCAGAAAAAATAAAATCATATATTAGACATGTATATCTAATAGTTATGACCATCACATTAATTTTGCAGCAATATCTACGAAAGGCCATTCTTGCTTGGGATCATATTTGATATCTATACTCTCAAGTAAAAATTTGACATCATACTGCCTGATATCTTATTGGACGAGGATTTGATCAAACCTAGAACTAGTTTGTGCTAGTCCTCGCTTTTATTCACTACCTAGCATTCTACAAAAGGAATAAATTTAGAATTTTGAAAAAACATGTATAATGAATGAAAATTTTATCGCTCAAAATAATATTAACCCAAGCCGAACTTCAAGACAAGACATTGTGACATTGTTGGGTTTTTAGATCCTGAGTTAGTATAAAAAGCGCACGTCCGTTCAGGGCGACTATTAATCACGGTAGATAAGACGAGACACACGGAAAGTGCGGGCAAGCATGACCGCTTTATCGAGATCGCGGCCTGATGAATAATATGTATACTGTATACACATTTGAACTTAGACGCGGCGCACTATTTAAACATCACGCGAAAATTCTTAAACACACTCTTTTGGAATACTTTTGTGGGAAACAAAAGTAGTGCAACATGGCATCGTGCTTTAAAGCAAATTGCTGGAACTTCTCGTAGCAAAAATTAAAATTTTTAGAAAAGCTTTAAAAATTTATAAAAACTAAAAAATTATATTTTTGTGATTTTTGCAATCTTTGAAAGAATTTAATTTTTTTTAATTTATTGAAAGTGAATTTATTGAAATTGAATTTAAAATATTTAGTAATTTCTTAGAACTTTGGACTTTCTTTAAAGTAATCGCGTAGAGACAAAATATCGTAGAGCGGAAACGTTTACGTGCGGATCCTGCTAGAGGCTTAAAAAAATCGATTTTTTCGCAAAAATGTCTTATAGTGTATAAAATGAATTAAATTTAATATATCCCTAAAATTTCAGAAACAAAATCAAATTATTTTCGGAATTACAGAATAAATAGTGAGCAAGCGTCAAGCATGTATACAAGCGGAACGAAAACTTCAACGCGCGATTTCCCGGTTTTTAATTTTTTCGATTCTTCCTAATTGGTGGGAAAGACAGGAAAAATAACGTCCCAAACGTCCTATCCAATTGAGACAAAATTTATTGTATTCAGAATTAAATTCTATTCTACTTGAACCTAAAAAAGTTAAATTAACCTACTTTTTAAACAGTGAAATTTTGTATAAAAAGCATGATTTTGTTTCAAGTTGCGAAAAATTGGTGATTTTCTCCAATTTTGGGATTTTTAGGATAAACTAGAATCTATACTATTGAAAACATATAATTGTTTTAATTTTATTGTTTCGGATGGAAATTGTGACCTGCATCTATCCCGCCAAATGACACCTGCACGCTCGTGGCGCATCGGCAAAATGCTTGTACCCGGCATATAGTGACATATATTTTAATGAAAAAAAATTGAGAAGATTGTTGAAATATATAACAATTAAACCTGCAAGTTTCGTTTCAATTAAATATTTATTTCCTTTCTTAAAAATTTCTCAAAAAAATCGATTTTTTGAAGCCTCTAAAGCAGACCCCCCCCCCCCCCTTAAAGGATGAAATTTTTGGTTTCGATTTTTTGCGATTACTATAACTAACCCTACGGGAAGTTAAACAGTTCAAAAGTTCTAAAAATTTTCGAAGTATAGAAAAAATTCAAATTTTTGAAAAATTTCAAAATTATCAAAAATCTTTTTTGAAAATTTTAATTTTTGGTACGGAAAGTTCCAGCAAATTGCTTTAAGACACGATCACATGCACCACTAGTTTCTTACATTTTTCCAAATTCATTTATCTTTCTAAATCCATGAAAGGCTTAATGAGATAGAACATACTCGTATAGCAGCATCGCGTGCTGCACAATTGGAAATTTGAATTGTCCGTGATAGTAGGTATTACATGTAGTGGTCACTTGCTCGTTGAACCACCCTGAAGCAGTTATCTACGGAACGTTCAGCAACTCCACCCACGTTTCATGAAGACTAACAAACTGACTAATCCGACGACTGCCACTTCATTTCCAACATAGAAAGGATCAGGGACAAAATTAATAGGGAATTGTTTTGCAAATTGCATATATGCCAACTTGCATATATATCGTATAGTTCTGAATTTGATGTTGACATATGTATTAACAGGGTCTAATTATCGGGTATAGTAACAATAAAAAAACATTATTTTCTTCAAAAGGAATTTCTAAAATCCATACGTTTTGGCTATAATCCTAGATGTTATTCAGTGAAAATTAATAATAAAACTAGCGGTGCACGGCATCGTGCCTTAAAGCAAATTACTGGAACTATTAGATTATTACGTAACTAATTAGATTTTTATAAAAATGATTCAAAATGCTGAAACTTAAAAAAAATCATATTTTTGAAAATTTTGTAATTTTTGAAAAAAAAATGACTTTTTTGAAAATTTGTTTTTTTTTTTAATAATTTGGAACTTTTTTTCGAAGCAATCGCACTGCGTTATTTATGTAGAGACGAAATATCGAAGCGAGTAGGTGCCGCGTCGCAGTCTAACGGATAAACATTGGTACGGAACCCAAGAAAATGTAAACCAAATTTGTTATTATTAGAATATCTATAAAATGACTAATAATTTGATGTGCATATGTCTAATGATCATTTTTGATCGCCAATTTGTCATTTTCTTTACTTTTTTTTATTAAATCTCCACAACCTCTAGACCCGACGTCAAAAAAAAATTCAAATCAGTTGATCTGTGCTCACGAAATCATCGACGAAAATTTGTATCCAAACACACATACACATATATATCCATTCTGTTAACTGATAACTAGTTGGAGGTACGTATAATGATGTTAGGAATTTTAAAAGAAGTATTTTTACCAAGGTTGCCAAACTAATTGTGAATTATTAAGTTATTATTTATTTTGCCGAAAGAAATTTAGAAACGCTATTCAGAATATAAATAAATCAGTTAGTTATTCCGACTTTGCTGATAAATATTTTTGACAAAATACCATATAAAGTTTATTTATGGTGTTATTTCTGTAAATATGTCGTTTTAAAAGATCCTTCAACAGAGTGAAGATTAGGACTATAGCCAAAATGTATAGATTCACCCAATTCACCTTAAATTATGTATTTCCAAAAACGTAGTAAAGTTAAATGCTTTTATTATAAACTTTTGGGATATTCTTTTCCACACTTATTGGAAATGGTGTCTCAAGAAGTTGAGGGACTTTAGAATTAGTATGATCTACAAGTTTTAGGAAATGTTGAACACTACCTAGTTTTATGGCCAAAAACTAACTGTATTTAGTACCATCGACTTATATTCACCATGATGAGTAGAATATGGCGGGGCACAAGGTCCATTTTGACTTTCAGCAATTATATTGTAAAAATCAAACCAAATACATTACAACAAAGACCACATTTGAAACAAACAACTATCTGACTATGTTCAGTAAAACTCCCAGCTGATACATAATTGTAGAAATGTGTTTTTCTGCTGTTTTACAAAAATTTGTAACCTTATTCTTTTTACCCCATGAGCGGGGTAAATTGGGACAGCCGGGGGGCAAACTGGTTCAATATTTTAATTTAATTTTGAATGAATTTTACAAATTGTTCAACCACTGCAAAATATAAATTTCATAGGTGCATTTTTTACAAAAATAACACTGTAAATAACCTTGATCTGGTATTTCGTCAGAAATATTTATCAGCAGAGTTAGAATAACTAATTATATATTTATTTTATCTCTTATAAAACAGCTTTTTTAACTTGCTTCTATTATTTTATTTTTATACATTTGCCAGGGTTACGGTTCAGTTGACTCTTTTTACCTTACCCATGGTAAGCTTTCATAGAGATTATATAAAATAACTATAATCTAACTTATTAAAGTATACTTAAAAACTATATTATTGTTTCGTTAACTAAGCAACAGTGCTCACAACCAATACAAATAACAATGAAAAAAAATACTTTTGCCATTTTTCTCCCGATAGCAACGTCGTAAGGATCAAGGTGATGGCTGGTCATACATCTTTTACTCGCTACTTTCAAATATTGTTGTTAAAAAATTTTTAACTTTACTGGTTTTACTCGTAAACCACCTAAATTCATGCGCAAAACACCTCCTAAGGGTCCACAGGAATGAAAGCGGAAAAAAACACTTTCGGGCATATAATAGCAAAATAGGATACCATCATAAATAGATTGGCATCCAATTTAGACATTCTATGAAAGGCCATCAAAAAATTTGCTGATATTTTATTAAGTAATAGGTGCAAATATATATGAAAAAGAAATTCATTGTTTTTTGAAAAATTGTGGTGGTAGTTTGCCAGCGGACCTTTAAACACCGCTCTATCCGATTCAAATCTATGCTTTTCAAATTAACAGTGGAGTAATGGATAGCAATGAAAATGTATGATTGTCAGTGAACTGAATTTGGTCGCAACAAACTAATTAAATCTGGTGTCGTGGACAATTATTTATTTATTCATCGCGATTAGAGCAAAAGTTGTAAACCCCGTTCGAATTGACGCCGTCCCGCGGTCCGGCCGCGTTTCATTCACTTTTTAACGCGATGTGCGTGATCGCCCTAATGCTCATTTGCATTTATAAAATCCATTGGACTCGGTCCCGTCTTTATCTATTCCTATTTGAATTTTACGAATATAAGAAATTGGAATTACAAATGAAGCAAATAAATAAAACAGACCGAATGCGATAACTATCTCATCGCTAACTAGAACTCGCATTTTTTACGTGGTTAACTAATTTTAGATCTTGATTTTTGTCGATTTTGGAGACTACGAGAATTGTTTCGAAATAACGTCCATTATTGACTTCCCGTATGGTAAGTTATAGTAATCGCAAAAAACCGAAAATAATTTTTTTTTGCACATCTGTACGTTTCAAAGGTTTCAGAACATTTTGGCATACTTTAGAAAAAATGCATGTCTGTATGTATGTTTGAATACAATTTTTGTCTACGATTTCGGGCGCACGGATCAACCGATTTGAATGATTCAAAAAACATTCGATTTCTATTAATTGGAAGATGTCTTGATTAGTTTTTGACAAAGACAGGTCTAGCTATTTCGAAGATGCGGGGCAAAAAGTGCCAAAAACTGTAATTCTGTTTTTGAGAGAACGAAGCGTCCGATTTGAATGATTCATATAACATTTATTTATTTATTTTATTTTTTTATTCATTTTTTTCAACTGTCAAACTACGTTTAGTAAAATTTTTAGTTAACTGCTAATTATAGAGATAGTTTTTTTTACTATTTTACTAAAATTTGTCATCTGTTCTTCTTTTGCCCCTTGGGCGAAGAAAGGAGGGACTGCAAGGGGGCAAACAGATCCAACACCTTTTTTTAATTTAAAGAAATTTTACAAAATAAAAGCGACATTATTTAACCAATGTAAATTTTATGGAAACATTTTTTACAAAGATTTTAATGACTATAACTTTGATCTGGTTTCGAAAGAAATATTCGTCAGCAGAGGTCAAATAACTATTCATTTAATTTATCTGTTGTAAAATTGCTTTTATCAACATAATTTACTTTCTTATTGCTTGCACCTTCAGCAATGTAAAGGTTTAGTTGGTCCTTTTTACCCCTACCCCCATACAAGCTTTTATGAAGGTATATGAAACTATTGAATTCAATTTAAAAATAACAATACAAGGCGTTTTAAATAACGTAACATATACAAAACATTTAAATAACGTATACCTGAAAATTATATTCAGGTATCATAAACTAAATACAAGATCTCAAAAACAAAAAATCTACCAAGAAAACAGAATACTTTTGGTATGAATATTGAAACATTTTTGTTAATCTCCTGATAGCGACGTTGTGAAAATTAAGATGACGACTGGTTACACATCTTTTGCCCTATACTTTAAAATAGTATCACTAAAAAAATGTTTTGTTGCTTGTTTTGGAATAATGATGGTAAACTTTTTAATGATACAGAAAATTTGATATAAGCAGCTTATTGTTAAATTATTATGTTTTATTCTGATGTTAAAGTAAATCTATTACTGCGCAAACTACGTATCACTTATGCATGTTCACCTTTTTAATTCAAGAACAACATCAATATTTAATTTTATATAGTATATAATAAATGCAAATAATTTTATAAATCATTAATGAATAATATATAATAAATTGATGAAATATATATTGATAAATGTTTTGTTTAATTCAGCAGAAGTCTAATTCTGAGAACAGAAGTCATCAAAGATATTTCAAAAAC